CACTTTTTATTGCTGAAATATTATCATCATCCGTATATTTTATCATTAATTACAGCTTTAAATAAAAAAAAAAAAAGAAAAACAGCTTCAATACCATCGCATAGAATGCAGTGTTTCATCATTTATTTTTATATACGAATAAAATCTTTTATAACGATGCCCACTATTATTTCTAAATTTCAAGAACTAATTCATTTATATTGACGATATATTTTTCATTTTGGGGGTATTGCTTTTCTGTTTCGAAGATATTCGATTACATTTAAATGTGAATTTAATGTGTATTGTTGAATTTCAATGTAATAGTTGAATTAAAAATTTGAATTTCGAAATAATAAAATGAAAATTTTAAACATTGAAATGTATATTGCAGTTAAGTTGGATAAAAATTTATATTATTTGTAATATTATAGTGAATTGTTTTTTAATAAAATATATTCTTTTCCATGGTTGAATTAAATATTAGGGTTTAATTTCTTGTATTTTTATTCATGAATTTACTCTATTTTATTTATGAATCATTGTTAACTTTAGTTACTTTTCATATTATTAAATATGTTGACTTAAGAATTATCGATTCTATTGTTATCTCTAGACGAAGATTAATTTCGTTTATTCTCGATAAACATTAAATTATCATGATCTTGGTCTTGGCTTTGTAAATGTTTTTTTTTTTTTTTAAACAAAGAAACAAAATCGTGTTCTTTCATTTATGAGAAGTCATCAATTATTAAAAAAGAAGAAAGAACTATTTTGGAATTTAACTTTCTGTATTTGAAATTTTTTATTTTATGAAACTCCTACTTACAACAGTAGTGGAGGAACTCCTGTCCGACAAACGACTTTTTGAATCTTTTTGTCATAATATCATTCCATTTCTCAGCATTAATAAGATCGCGAGACGAAAAGGTAACCATAAGGTTGTCGATAAGTAATTAAATTGCTATGCAATATGCGCAATATTTTATCAAAATCACAATAATGATATCATGATATCATCATTATGTTTAACCTTGTTTTCATATTGTAACAAAATTCCTGTCGCACTAACTTTCCTCTCGACTTTATGTGTTCGTTGAGCTATTCTTCTAAATAAAATCGTAACTTTTTCAACACTTCATATAGATTTTTCAATTTTTTTTTTTTTTTTTTTAAGAACAATAATAAAAGTAACGTTTGCCGACTTGTGCGCGTCTATTGTTTCTCTTACTATTATTTTCTCTCATTTTCTTTTCCACCTCCTCTCCGCCCTCCCTCATCGGCCCATCACAACAGGGATACTGTATAGCTCTCTTTTTCTCCCTTCCTCTGGCGTCGATCACGTAAACGTTTTTCAGCATCGTCGTCAACCTTTGTCAATTGCTCGTAAATGAATTCAACGGACGTGGCAAGATGTCGCGCACCCATCACGACGTGGGAGGATCGCCGTATCAGGTGACGCGTATCACACGAAAATATGTGACGAGAATTTTGAAGGGAAGTGTATGTACTACGTACGTCTCGTGAGTCGTGGATAACCTACATTCGCGCCTCGCTGTGATTGATCTTTTCCAGGTCAAAGCGAGGCTGCGCTCTCGAGGTTAATTTTTAATTTGACGCGAATGTTTTCTTCTGCTTTTAGTTTGTACTTAGATTAGCTTTTACAAGCGCTGAATGCACTTTTAAATATCTCGATTAATAGCTTTTATTTTCATTTCGGCGGCTTATTGAAGTTTGGACGTGCGTTGTGGAGACATTGAGAATTGTCATTGGAGCTTTCGTCATCAGGTTTCCGACATCTTTCTCCCCTAATACGGACTTTTATCGTTAATTTTTGTTTCTCATAGTGTTAAATAAATTATTAAACTTTGCGATTGACGGGAACTTGATACTGTTTGGGAAATACATTGTTATTATTGATTAACCTCTTTTGCGAGGAATACCCAAGAAAAAACAAACAAAAAAAATCTCATCTAAATCTTTCAAAACCTGTGATTTGGATCACCTGTAATGAGATAGCTCGGTTCTTTATTAATAATATGAAGTTTTTAGGCTTGGAATTATTAATTGTAATTTATCGTGCGCCTAAAGTACATAAGTCACGTGATTATTTTGTCGTAATTGTAAAACCTATAATCGTTAGACATATGATTTTTAGACTTTTCGTAGTAAAACGAAATGTGAGAGACGAAATGAAAATGATCTTTCGTATCGATAAGATGCCCTATTAATTATTACATTGAATGTGAAAAGTCAAGCACATTGATGTCGGGGTTAAAGGACGTAATAAAGTGCAGCTGAAGTTGGCGAAACAGTTTTTGTAAAAATTTTAAACGAATCTTGAGGTAGAAAAGAAAGCCTCGCTTACGAAAGCAATTATGAAAAGGTCACGTTCGCGTGTATGAGACAAGAGACACGATGGTTGTTAACAATATAAGCAAATTCCGAAAGCTTTTCATTTCCAATGACTCTCGGATGTTTCTCGTTATGCTTTGGTATTTTTTTCATGCATACGAAAGTTCTAGATGAACCGTTCAGCTAAGCTTCACCCTAACGTGTATTTATAAAATTTTTGTTTGCTCGTTATTAATTATCAGATAGATAGTCGATTATCTTTTTATTTTTTTTTTTTTTTTTATTAGAAATTTGTAAGTTTCTGGTGGAATAGTGGAATATTTCTATCGATCGAACGTCATTCTTATTTGTTTATGTTTTTTTTTGTTTTTGTTTTGTTTTGTTGTTAAAATATTTATAATATGTCTGATCGAATCATTTATTCATTTTTTTGCTCGTTAAATAAATTTTATACATATTTATATAAATATAAACCAATTGCTATGAAAATAGTTTACTAAGGCTTGCGTAACTATAAATGCATATCGAATTTGATCCTATAAATTCTATAAATTAAACATTATAAATTTTGTGGAAAAAATACGTTAATTTTATAGTGTAGATTGATTGATATTAGCCAACGTTGTTTATGAATGTCCCGAGTGCTTTTTACAGAATATTCACTAAGTAAACTGCTAATTAAGAAATGTTAATAGTGCCTTGAGAATAAAAAAGAGCATAAACAACCTGTTGGTAAAATGTAACGGACACTTCCCGTTGTACTTCACTTCGTGCTATTCTTGTTTGCGCAAAATCCACGCAAAAGATATCTCTCATTAATATCCTATTCGTCGGTCTTTCGCAGCATCTATTTCCGTCGGCGAATAAACAAAATAACGACTTTCTCCCGCTGTCACCCTTTTACGTCGGCAAGCTGCGTTCTTCGTGGTTGACCTTGAGCCCACAAAGACAGTTTGCAAATATCGTAGGCAGTCTCTCTCTCTCTCTCTCTCTCTCTCTCTCTCTCTCTCTCTCTCTTTACCATCTTTTTTCTACATCCACCACACGTACTTCTTTTTGCTCCATCCACCAGCCGTACTCCCCTTTTTGCTTTCCCCTTCCAAAATGTAAGCAGTCGAGGCTTGTGCTTTTACAGTTGCTGGTATAGGCAAAGCTGCGTTCCTGTAGGGCGGGAGGCGCGTCGTCGTCATTGTGCCTCGAGCTAAAATCGGACTAATATAACGTACGCGCATCGTGAATTTTGCTTTGAGAGCAGCAAGGAAATTCCACTCGTACTGAATTTACTTAAGGCGGCTGCTTTTACATCGCCGAGCGCGTAAGATTATTCCGTTTAGCTCGTGCTTTGTTGGGGCGATGTGAAAGCGATTGGGGGCGGGCGAGAATGCGGCTCTCGCAGTATCGTTCAATTACAAATATTTGTATTTAAAGAAAATATTTATATTCGTTTTTACTTGGGATATCCGTAGTATACATATTTTTTTTCTCTTCCTTCTAAAATCAATGTTTCATACATTGTACATTGTAATTCATGGGCCTCGCAACATCCGATTATAGTATTAACAAAAAAAATCAAAGGAATTGTGTACGTCGGTGAGGAAAGATATGCGTCTTATAAAATTTGTCAAATATGTGCAGTTTGCTTTTAAAAGCTAATGAGATTTTCTGCATTTTCTTCACACATTTGGTTAAGCTTCGGAGGACATTTTTAATGATTTTTGTTTCTTTTTTATTACTTTTTGTACACATAGTTAAAAGACTTTTAGGTTCCGATTTTTCGTGCTTTTTAAGCTTTGGAATTGTCATAACGATTTACAAAAAATTGTCTATAAGTAAGCACTTGTTCATGCACTTGGTCCAATTGTTTAATGAGAATGGAAGAAATTGTAAATAATACAATGAGCAGGTATTAATTCCAATAACACCGACTATTTATAATTTCGTAAATTTTACTTGGAATTCGGGACATTGCATAGTTTATAATTGCCGTACCGATTGCCAATTAATTAACGGGCTTATCAATAAGCATGGCGTTGGACAATTTTGATTATTTAAACGACGTGCGAGAGAATCCCAAATACCGTCAGCCGACATGTTCGCCACATTATTATTATTAGCACAAGTTTCTCGATCTCTCTGCCCCTACAACCGAGCTCTCACCTCGTCTCGGGGATTATTAATAACCCCCTTGCCCCTTGCGAATGAGTCAGGGGCAGGGGGAGTTATTCGCCGTTAATGTTGAGAGCAGCTGTTAGGCTGCGGACCCTCTTCCGGAAATGAGAAAATTCGGGCCAACTAGCGGCTGGAATGGCCGAGAAAAGTCACTCGCGCCAACTTCCATTGCCCTCGCCGTCCCGAATACTTTAGCCCATACTTTACAATAAATTCCAAATGACCGTGAATCCTAATTAAACGAACCTAGACTATCTTACGTATCCTTAAAATCATAGTCAAGAGGGCGAGGGGGAGACGATTGCACTGCCAATCCGTCACTTTAATAAACGAATTCACAGACAATTGACTTGAGCTTGACTTACGTTCGACCTTGTGCTCACGCCCGACTATAAAACTCCGATTTATCGCAAGACGCCCACCGGCTCGGGTGACGCGACGATTTAGCGATCGTGGCTCACGTCCATTAACGCATGTAATCCATTTTGTGTCGACAGCCGCCCGAGAACGAGCTGCAGAAAGTGGGCGAACGGGTGCCATCGGAACACGAGCTCAGGGTGCAAAGATCCCTTCAACGGTTGAACGTCCCGGAATGGTACAAGAACTCATCGGCCGTCCGGGATGGAGGCGGCTTCCGGCTCAAGAGACACTCGGATGCTTCGCAACACGGGGGATGGCGAGCCCTCGGCTCCAAGACGACATCCCTCTCGTCGCTATCCTCGTCTTCCAATCGACAGCCAACCCCAGGTACGTATCCAGGGTATATCTTTATCTTTATTTCTCTGCTGGAGATGCGCGCTTGGCAAGTCGAAATTAACTCACGTGACACGTAATTACTGGACCATAATACTGTAATATGAAGAAGTTAGTCATTCGTCGATAATGAACACCTCGATATATCAATACAACGTATCTACACACTTTAACGGATCACTACGACTCTGACATTCATTTATAAAGCCAAGCTTTCATAATACCATGGATAATATTATTGTCAATTCGCTAATAAATAATTGTTTATATCTTTCTATAGCTTATAAAATTCTTGTGTCACAAAATGCATAACACATGGCTGGAATGATTTTTTACATTGACTTTTAAAAAAATGTCTCTTCTCGACAAAAGATCATGTATTGGTCATTCAGTTCGATTGATACGCAATTGTTTAAGCGTTCAACTTGCTGCTTGTTAATAAGGATTACGACAGGAAATCAAATTATTTCTTTCTCGGGATAAGCGAGAATTGAAATAGTTCACGGCACTTAACAAGGATTTGCTATTTCGAATGCATTGATCAAAGAATAATGTTAACGGGAAAAGAAATTCCAAGCGAAGGGAAATAGGCTCATCTATTTATATGTATTGCAAGTTAAATATGTCTGACCCTGTTTTGGTTGTATCTACTAGAAATACTATAAGTACACTGCTACTTTTAATTTTCTGATAAAATCTTCATATTATAGAAAAATTTCCTAAGAAATCTTTTGCAAACGAAAATTGCAACATAATATTTATAGAACATATGTTCTCTTAAATTTCACACTATTGTAAATGCCTAATAAGCCATTGGGTACGTAATTTTAATTCATTACTTCCAATATAAAAATACAAAAGCGAATAACGAATGCATACATTATCTTTGTATTCTTTAAATTTTTTTTCTATTTTTTTTTTTTTTTTTTTTTTTTTTTTTTTTTTTTTTTTTTTTTTTTTTTTTTTTTTTTTTTTTTTTGTATATTCTCGATTATTCCTCAACTATTCCTTATTTATTAATTTTACTTACTTGATTTATAATTCAAAAGCGTTCAAATGCTTGAGAAATATTCTTATTTTAAATGCCAATAACCATAAGAGAAGTAAAATCTTACAAATGATCCAATGCGAAAGCACTGGTCAAAGGCGACTTTTAACGTTAATCTCCATTAACGTTTCATCAATAATTAATGCATCGTCCCGTTTTCGTAAAATTTCTTCAAAGTCTTAATTTTACGATTTACCGACGCGAGCCTAAATTCGGCCGTCACAGCAAAAGTGCAGCGTCGTCTCATATTACGAATAAATATGAAATAACTTCCTTTCCCCCAGAGTCGAGCTTTCCGTTAACACCAGCCGTTACCAACCGATCGAACAAAGATAATAATAAGAGCGACGCTAATCGGCAAAAGTATTGCAAATGATCTCAAGTCCAAGAAGTTGAAGGAGCTCGAGAACGAAAATTCCGCAGCTTCGAAATCGACCGAATCTCTCAACTTTTCCAGAATTAGCAGAGGTGCGTGGCGCACTCGAGGCACAGATTACAGACGGACACCGGCGGCTCTTCGGCGAAAAGTCTCGTCTGAAATAAGTTTAGACCAGCGCGCGAAGAGCCAACGCGGTTATTCGTAGGTCCGCGCTACAGTCGCGGCTCTTCCTTCCTACTCTTACACGGGGCTGTCGCATAATGGACGAGCTGAACCTTAATCCCTTCAAATTGGCTTTGAACTAACTTCAAGAGCTTTGCGCGTCGGATGTGCATGTACCGTGAAAAGAAACAAGGGGGGTTGAAGTAGAGTTGTGAGGAAAGGGAGGGGGAGGGGAATTCTTTATTGCGTGTGGCCTTTGGCTTTAGTGCGCCGAGCGATTGGTCGAGCGTATATAAGTCGGTGGTTTGTTTCGTTGTCGATAGTCCGCGATGAGAGGGGAAGGGAGAGATGAAGGTGGCGACGTTTCTCAAGCTCGAATTAATATTTGTTCATGTTATTTGATAATTATGCTCAGGTTGTCGATAATTTGTTAAGAGTAGGTTACGCGATGGTTGGCGAGAATACATTCCTGCCAGCATTAATGAAGTCGACTTAACGGTTACAAACAAAATTCTTTGATAATAACGAAAGATGATGAAGAATGCTCGTAAAGTTCGTTCGCGTCGTACAGTTTTGTATTTATTATGTAAGAGGATTGTTCTACTTGAACAATTTTGGCAACAAGGCCAAAAGTTCTTCAATCTCCTGAGTTCCTTGTTCGAACTGTCCAAAACATATATATATTACGACTAAATATTTATTATAAATTATGCGAATCGCGAGGAATTAATGGAACGTTGCATACTGCCAAGGCTTAAATTACTCGCGAGCCGAAAGCATTTTATTGGCTTTCAAAATTAGCCATTTTGCACTAATAATATCTATCGGTGTTAAAAACAATGTCTAATGCGTTTAACGTTCGAGGCGCGAAAAAACGGCTGGCAAAACGAGCTAAAATAGGAATAACGACTTTATGCTTCTAATTAATCCTATTGCCAATGCCAATATTACTTGCCTTCCGCTTTCTACGATTTCCAGCTCGATACGTTTTACGCACCATCACTACAAGGACGAAAGTAGTTACGCATCTCGCAAGCATCGTACGATCGACGAGAGGCGAACCAATCCATGACAGTCGCAACCTGGTCTCGTCCTTATCCTCGCAACGTAAAGCTGGACGCGTTGGCCCATCGAAAATCCCCCGTAACCGTCTCCTACCCCACACACACACACACCCCTCCCCCCGCCCCGCCCCGCCCCGCCCCTACCTGTACTAACTATCACTGTACTCCATCACTTGTAAAGTCTAATCGAACCTCTTGTCCCGCAGGTACACTCCTGAGCCCGAGCCCGACGCCGCCAGTTTTCTCCAGATGGAGCACGAGTTTACTAAACAGCGCGGGAAGCTCACCCGCGAGTTCCGCTCGCTCCTCCTTCAATCATCGGCAACCCTACCTTGGTTGGCGCTCGCAGGAGCGACTGGCCAATCCTCGCACACCCGCGGAGCGACTCGCCCAGGGTATTCTGCCCCAGCTGCAAAATTCAAGCAAGGTAATGTAAGGTGGGCCCGCCGGGGTTACGAAAGCTTAAGCGAGCTCGTGGAGGCGATGGGATTAAAGTTACTCGGTTATGGAAAGCTATGAAGGCGTTTGGAGGTGGCGGAGACGGACGGTCGATCTCGTGTAAGTTACCCGACCTCCTCGTTGTCTTCTCGCGATCCACATGAAATACGTGCGTTTCAAGGGATGACGTTTCGCGCCATTTTTTATTTTAAAAATGCACCCGCCCGAGCTTCAGTTGGCTGGCTATGAAGGCGATGGGAAAAATATATTTAATCGCGCGATATCCGTTTTCATGCTCTATAGATCCGTAATGCAGCGGGACTTTGCAGTGCCAAGCATTTGTTTTGCTTTTTATTGTATCGTTTTTCTGTTGGTTTTTTGTTACTATAAGGATAACGGATTTTTTTTTTTTTTTTTTTTTTTTTTTTTTTTTTAGTAAGTCGCGATGAAGCTATTTAGGCTTCCCTCAAAGTGTCAGCTATTTTTATCCCAAAATGTAATTATTTCTCTTTGCTTTAATCGATATTTATAACTCGAGAGCCCGAGTGGATAATGCATAATGCAGTTGCTGTACGAGAATAGTTAGCGGATAAAAGTACTACCTAATTTGAGATAGTCCTAGATATTTCATTTTTTAAAATGGATCATTGTTAATTATTCCGGCAGAACATTGAGCGATGAAAATTTCTTTAAAAAAAAAAAATGATATAATTGAAAATAGAATGTTCGAGGATGAATGTTAATAATATCATTTCAAAGGAGTGCACTCCTCTCGTAAATCCTTAACGGGTCTGCTTATTATTTAGAGCTGCTTACACTTGGAGGATAAATTATACGCTCGATCTTAGGTAGTCGTGATCTTGTTGATTTCTCGCAGACGGGAAAAGGCTGAAATTTTTTTTTTCGTCCGAAGCGGAGGACGTCGGCCGCGTTCTATGGTATTAATCATGTATATACGTTTGCAGTCCCGTAATTAAAATCATAAGTGTAGGGGGCGCACGCGCGTACGGGCAGCTTATATTGCCAATATTTGGGCATGCCAAAACGTTCCTTACGTATTATGCCAACGAGCAAGATTTAGAAGCTTACCTTGACTTTAATCAAGTTAAGAGTCAAGGTGTAACAAATAACTTGAAATTCTTAAGTATCTTTTGGTTAATGCTTTCTTAATAGTCGTAGCGAGGATAAATGACTATTATTCGAATACATTGGTAATTAAATTTTGCTTTGGATAGAAATAGACATAGCGCGATCGAGAGTTTTACGATGATTAACATGCAATAGGAATCACCGGAAGTCCTATTAGCTCTTCGTGATGAAATAGTTGTGATTAATGAGACGAAGCACTTGGACATTGCTAATTATGCGAGCGCATATAACGATAATTTGTCTTATCGAAGGCCTTACGTAATAATATGAGATTGGTAGTTTTACAAAATGTTCGCTTGTTTTTTAAATTAAATTTTCTTTTTTCTTTTTAAATCTATCGATATGCTATTAATAATAAGAGAGAAAGAAAAACGTTAAAAATTATAATTCTATATAATGTATTGCTGAAATAATATGCATTTGTCGATATAAATAGCTAATCTCGTTGTAAACATTATTGTAGAAATACTTTGTAGAGTTTTTTTAAATTAATGGCGCATTAAAGAAACGATTTAGTTTAAATGAGCATTTATTCACTATGCGCAATATAATAATATCTTTCGTCTAATATAAATCTCACTCTCTCTCTCTCTCTCTCTCACTCTGTTTCTTTCTTCGTCTTTTTTTGGAACGCATAGAGTTGAACGCCATTGAAAGACTTTAATGATAAAGCGTGACAACGAATGTCCAGACCACGGCTTATTCTCAAGTAAATAACGAAGAGAAAGACGCATTCAAATAAAATGGAGACACGGTTAAATTGAAAAAGGAAATAAGAAATTGTGCGTAGAATTGGGAAGCCAAACGATCACATGGATACTTATCGCGTAACCATTCGCGCGAAATTGTACGCTATTTGATAAAAAGAAATTGTCTCGCCGAAGGCGCCGGCTCGTACGCGCCCTTCGCGACTTTATCGCCGTCAAGACGGTTGCGACATGACGTACGCATAGGACATAATTCGGCATTAGATAAGGAGCCACGATACGGCCATCTGATCAATAGTAAAAGTGCCAATGAGAGAGGAGACACGAAAGCGACGGCCGCGCTTGCGCGACGTCACCCGTCTGGCCTCGCGGTCTCTTGACCGTCGCTGACCCAGGAGACGCGAACGGGGACTCGAGAGCCGTCCACGTGTTTTGGCTTTGGTCACCGGGGCAGGGCAGAAATCACGGATGGCGGCCTCCTTTATCGATATGTGCTTATTTTCGAGATATCCGCTGCAAATGGATGAGGTGGCGACGCGTCCGAGCCACGTTTATAATTTATTGCTTGGAATGTCCGAGCAGCCATTTAATTTATCGGTCAGCCGATGGCTAATGATCGTGGAAACTGGATGTTCGAGGATTTGGTTGGGGGTAGGTATCGTTTAAGGAGCAGCCCCGAGTTGGTATTCCAACTCTGATTAATTGGGTGATGAAGCGGAAATATATATGGGGGCGGAAATGAGGGAGGGGCTGCATTCCAGAGCCACGCGTTTCGATAAATTATTCTTTATTTCGTTACTATTGGGAAGCTATTTTTGGCTCTCGTGAGCTTTAAATTTACTTAATGCAACTATTGCATCGATGGCATTTGGGTGATGGAGAAATAACTACTCGTACGGAGCGATAAACGTAATGTATTTAATTACCGTACCGAATTTCCTTTTAGTCGGGCTTCGCGATAGCTGTAGTATTATTGGTAAATGTAAACAAGTCGATTTACATCTTTTAACTAAATGAAAACGATGGTAATTTTTTGGAGCGGATAAGAATTTGTTTACTAGCAAATAAGAATGAAGTAAAAATGAGCATTAACTCTTGGACGAGGGGATTCCTTATAATGGAAACAATTTTTTTTTTTTTTTTTTTTTTTTTTTTTTTTTTTTTCTTATTCATGCAAATTCGTCGATTTATGTTTACAATGAATACGGACAAAAAGTATTTACTTTCTTAAATTGTTTATGCCTGACGAAATAAAGTACATAGATTTTTAAAATTGGACAAATTGTTCATTTATCCTAGCATGTATTATAAACAATATTATTAGGAGCCAATGTAAGGTGTATTGAGAGAACATAATAATATATTTTCCAGTGTGTCGTGCAAGTATATGCGAATAAAAATTATTCTGGCATAAATAATATAGTTAAATTTCAATTGGATAATTATTGCATACGACGAATGCGTTTGTAATATTTGCTTTGAAATGCCACTTCATATGTTTGATAGAAAATAATTATTTATTTGAAATATACTTATTTCAAAATTATATTATTTTTACACTAACAATAATAACAACAACAACAACAACAACAACAACAACAATAATAATAATAAGAATAGGAATAACAACAACAATAACAATAATAATGATAATGGAGAAAAAAAAAAAAAAAAAAGTCAATAAATGTTTTGTCACGTCTTTAACTGTTGAAATAAATAGAAAATATTTTCTCTTAATTACAATTGCTTACAATTATAGAACATTGTTGCCAATGTTTTACAAAAATAATTCAATCAGCTGAAATTTAAATGCCAAAAGAAATTTCAATTTCGTTTTGTAAAAAGGAAAAGAAGAAAAACGTTTTTCATCCGTTTTGTTTTATCTCACTGCAACGTAGCGCCCAGAAAATTACACGTAACAACGTATTATTCAATAATACACATTAAAATGCAAACATTCATTAATTTTTTTTTTTTTTTTTAATCATGATAGAATTGTGATATTTCGAATCAAGAAAATTTTTGGAAAACTCAAAAAATGGTATTGGAAAAATATTATATTGCTAAGTATTTATTTAAATCCTTATAACAGTTAGAAGTGGCAAATTTTACGAAAAATAAAATACTTATCATTTATTATTATTATTATTATTATTATTATTATTATTATTATTATTATTATCATTATTATTCACTATACATATATAACAAGTTTTAGCTTAAAAATATGAATGAATTTATAAATTTAAAAAGCAATAAATTTTATAGCTGCGAAAGTAGTTATTGACATGTAAGTATCATGTATCTTTGGTTGAATTATATAAAATCATGTTTAAAATAATATATAATTACGAGTTTATAAGACTACTAATTTATTATTAATTGTTAATGCCCTTAAAGCTCTCGCTCGGTACGAATGATTTTTGAAAATAAAAATATTCACGAGTAAAATCATTGGCAACTCGTAGCTTCTTCACGAAAAATCGATTAATCGCTTTGGATAAATGTACTCCGCACTCGGAAAATGAATAATAAGAAAGGAAACTCCGATGGGTGCGCGTGTACAATAAAACAGATTTCCATGTCCTAATTTTATCTTTATCTTCGCAGCAACAGCAGCAACAGCATCAGCAGCAGCAGCAGCAGCAGCAAGAGCACAATCATCATTATCATCATCAGTCACCGAATCAGCAGCACTCGCAGCAGCATCAGACTGGGCAGCAGTTGCCTGGGAATCAAACAACGAATCAGGAAGTGAGGAATTCGATAAAGGAGGTTACCTCGGCAATTGTGCACTACGTGCAAAGCGGCCAGGAGGTGGTGGGCGGTGGTGGTCGCCTGTCGCCCCGGTCGCGGCCTGACGACTGGGACGAAAGGGGCGGCGCAAGGTCGATCAGCCCCCGAGGTGAGCACTAACGAACGCCTCCGATATCTCGTTCTTATTCTCTCTCTCTCTCTCTCTCTCTCTCTCTCTCTCTCTCTCCATTTCATAAACTCTTTTTCTCTTATTTTCACGTCTCTCTTTCATCAACGTTTACTCGTATTTTTTACCTCTCTCTTTATCTCTACTCTCTCTCTTTGTCACATATTGTTTCACAATAATTTCTCTCTTTTTTTTCTCTTATCTCTATCTATTTTTTTTTTTTACTTCGTTCATCTTCTACATATATATCTGTCAATATCGCGAGCTCATAAGTCGCCGGTGCTCTTTCGAGATGTACGACGGACATCGAATTTCGAACCCTCCGATTTACCTCGGCAACTATTACATGACATTGTAAGGAATGAAAGAGATATCGATGTGTGCGAGAGTGTGTGTGTGCATAGTTTATTGGAAAACTGTTGAAAATAACTGCGTCCCACCACCAAACCACCACCACCACTACCACCACCAATTACCACGACCACTACGATTATCACCAACCGCTTTAATACTCCGCGACTCAGGTAATTTTTTGTTTGTCGTTTTATTATTGAACTTTTAGTAACTTTAGTTTGTTTGGTTATTTATCGGATTTACTTTGGGATTTCAATTAATTTTAAGGATGTAATAATAAAGCTCATCTTTTATTTGAAATTCACGTATTGTTTGAAATTTTTGTTTTTCATCAATTCTATTACATAATTTATTGAAAATGAAATAATATTTTATTATGAATTAAAATTTGAAATCCAAAATTAGACATTCCGTACTAATGGTGAACTAATTTATTTTTTTTTTTTTGTTTTGTTTTGTCTAATTTCATCAACATGGCTAACATTCGAGATAATACTTTGATTAATTTTTTAAACAAAGACATTGTGATTCAATTTTTTTTTTATATTCCTAAATTACTGTTTTTAACGTGAATCGATTAAATTGATTCTTCACTAATTGTAGAATAATTGATTTATTCAAGCGATTGGTCTTACGAATATTTAAAATATTTCTTGAAATTTTTCGAATTTTTTCATGCTAATTAGAAACAACATATAATTAAAAAATATTCATTATATAAAGTTGTAAAAATACAAAAAAAAAAAAAAAAAAAAATACATCATTATCTTAGTAGTAGTTGAGATTTGAAAAAATTGAATTACTCTGTATAATGTTGATTCTAAAATTAATTTATTTCTTGTTTAAACGTAGTGTATTGTTTTCGTTTACTAACACACACATTCTACTTTACTTATTGATGTAGATCACACAGTCAGAGGAATCCTATTTCTATTCTTTCACTGATATTGTATTATGCATAGAAACGAATACACACGCAAGAGCGCAAACAGAAGTACTCACATTTACAAATGAAAAATAGAATAGGGAGATATTATGCACCGAATTCATTGTTCGATAGACAGAAATGGAAGAAGAGTGCATATAAATAGAACTATTGCTCTTGCTAATTTTTCACGCGTCATCGCGATCGTATAGATCGTTTAGCGATACGTCACGTAGTGACGAAGAATTTTCATATCTGATTAAGAAACAATATTATTTATGTTTTTATAATTTTTTTCTCTCTCAAAATCCATCTCGTTGCCAAGAGCTTTGAATAAAAGTCACACGTACATACTTTCCAAAACCTTTTTTCTTATCACGAATTATATATTACGAATATCTTGCGTCGTATTATCCTTCTACTAAGAGAAATAAATGCTCATGTTCACTTGTATAATTTGCATAAAATATTAATATTATTATTTCAAATGAAAATTTATTATAAACATTTTAAGCTAAAATTTCTTTATAAACTATGTACTTAGTGTTTTATTTTTGAATAATATTGAATTTTAAGTTAATTCTTCTAATCAATTTTGGTGTAAAAATGGCCATTTTGTCAAAACACAAATTAAATTTACGACAATTTCAAGTTACTGTAATGTAATATTAAAAAGAGAATGACATTTATTTTTATATTAATAATATTTACGGTAATCATTTGCTTAATATTACGAAATTTTACATTATTTTTTAAATATTATATTATAGGTACGTTGTACGAAGATGGGATTGTAGTTTTACACGAGTTATAAATAATCAGATTTAACATGCCAAAGAATTGCATAGAGTGAACTTTTCATCAATTTGACTGAAATTCAAGCTCTAATCTATCACCATAAGATATCCCATTATAAACAAATTCAATGTTGATCATTAATATTTTATTTGAAATTTTACTGAAATAAAACATTCTACATTATTAATATTATTATTTATTATTATTGTTGTTGTTGTTGTTGTTGTTGTTGTTGTTGTTGTTGTTATTCTTCTTCTTCTTCTTCGTTTTATTATTATTATTATTATTATTATTATTATTATTTACTACTCTTACCATCGCTATCGATATAGCTACTTCTACACACTTATAACTACCATTACTACTACCACATTATTATTGTTATCATTATTAATTATTATTTTTATTATTAATTAATTATAATAATAATTTATTATAATAATATTTATAATAACTTATTAATAATTATTATTATTACTATCATCATCATCATCATTATTATTATTATTACTATTATTATTATTATTATTATTATTATTATTATTATTATAACTATTATTACTATTATTGCTATTATTGCTATTATTGCAATTATTGATATTAATAGAATGGATAAATAAAGATTACAAGTTAGTTCAGTGGACAGAAAAAAGCGTCATTAATTTCTCCGATTAAATTTTTGCAATATTACCGATTAGTTTATTTACGTAAATTCATCGGGACCATTCTATATATTTCATTAAGAAGAAGAAAAAAGAAAGCCTCTCCCTTCGTTTCAATAATATGCTTATCGTTAATACAGTAGACAAAGAGAAAAGCGAAGGGCTTCATCGACAGAGGCGACAGAAAAGACGAAGCTCGCACGCGCTACCCTTGGCCCTGTTTCTTTATCTGTCATTTGGCGAAAAGCCCACGGGTGTAAAAAGTAAAATGGGGGCATTAGAAAGTCGACGAGATGAGTTACAATTGAGATTAACGGTATGACACGAGTCCTTCGTTTATCGCCGTATTCCTTCCTGGTTTTCTATCCGCGCGATCTTTGCACTTCCGCCAGCGTCTATCATCTCTTGCTTTCCTCTACTTTCCCCTCTTTGTCAGAATGCTCCAAATAGATTACCCTGAGATGGCGCGAGCGTCATCATCGTTTGGGATTCGCGTATCCCGAATTCCCTCGTCCAGGACATTTCCTCGATTTTTTACTTCTACTCAGTCAGCCTCACTACTTATTTTATCGCTTTTGATCCTGTCGCTTTTCATTCACATTCTACTTCTTCTAAACATAAATTCTTTCTATTCCTTTGCAATTTATGTATAGGATAGTTTATTGCGTAGCCTAAGACTCAAGAGCGAGAGCATTTTAATTGCCCAGAAAGTCATTATGTTGCGTAACAATGGATTAGACCTATTATAGTTATATCGGAAACTCATTACTTATATTTGAGTCAATAATTAATATTAACAAAGTAAATTAAACAAATCGTATTATTATTATTATTACTGTTATTATTATTATTATTATTATTATTATTATTATTATTATTGTTGTTGTTGTTGTTGTTGTTATTATTATTTATATTTATAATTATATTTACATATATATCCTGAAAGATATTGTCAGTAGATTCAACCGATGAATCATAATTGATTAATACAAAAATATAGTTAATGAATTTGTTTTTAAATGTAATAATTTTATCAAAGATAAAAGATAAAAAGATAGAATAAATAAATTCATTTACGGACGATATAAGGATAGGAAGAAGCTCACTAGCTTGTAAATCATTAAGATGAAATCCATTTTATTTGCACACAATGCAACTTTTTGTTAAAAGCTTGCTTAAAGTCTGTTAAAATTTTCCCTCCACATTTCAAAATAACGACAAAAATACAAACTCATATTGGCTTCAATTTTTTTGCGAATATTTTTCCATTTTTTATTCGCAAAATCAGGCGATAGATGTATACGCGTTGAGAAGCGACGCCTTTTTACGTCCTTGTCAGGCCAGGGGGCGTAGAAAACGCCCGTACGTTACGATTTTCTGTGTTCCTATTGGATTAGCAATGATTTATCCGGACCTTAATATTGCGCATTTCCCCATGAAAGAAATAAACAAGTGCAATCGTCCCATTACCTTTCGAATCGAGAATGGCGAATCACATCGTTAGCTTCGCGTTGGAGGGTAGAGAAATCGGTAACGTCGTCGCTCGGAATTTCCGCCTCCTCCATAGTTTAACGAGGTTCATCGAGCCATTAGCCTTCCCCCATTTGGAGGAGGGGTTGCCGATTTTCACATTTCTTCATCGCCCATTGGCTAGATCGATGATTTCCACTGCATGTCTGAATTAACAGAATCTGTATATACCGACTATATCGTATTCGAATATTGTTTTTCGTTTTTTTCTTCTGTTTGCAAAATTATCGACACGCTATTTTACGAATAATTTATTGAACATTTCCAATTGTAATTTAATTTCAAAGTCTTGTTTAGAATAGGAGGTACGTCCGTAATTATCTCTTATTGAATCAAAATTGTTTTCGTTGATCGATGTTTAATAGTAAATGTGTGCATACGGTTTAGGTAAGCAGCGCCATGAAGTACAATTTATTTATTATTTTTTTTTTTTTTTATTATCGAGTTTTTCTTTTTCTTCAATGCCAATGAACATGGCATTGTCTAAAGTATTATTTATTGCACGTTGCGTACTTTTGGAATGGTGTAAGAAAGGAGGAGACCGTGAAAAGGAGAAACTCCAATATAAAATCAATATTCGAAATTATTGATCTCTAATGTTATATGTTGATCTGACAATAGGAATGATTATGAAATTGATCTAATTGAGATATGATTGTTAAAAATTAAAATGAAACAGAACAGTCACTTGAAATTGTTTATATAAAACTATATATTTGAATGTGAACGGTTTTTTTTTTTTTTTTTTTTTTTTTTTTTTTTTTTTTTGATCTACGTGCAACGGCCCTACAAGTGTCCTAGGTACACGTGGGAATACCTTGTGTTTATAATGACTTAGGCTTATCGAGCCATAAACTAAAATGTGCTGGAATTTATGTTTCATTGTGGGTAACAGAATAAAGCATTAAGAAATTAAGATAAATTTAGGAATTCTTTGTATAAATGTTTTCTAATATTTAAAGAGAAGGAGAAAGGAAGAGAAAAAAAAATCAGACAAATACAAATCCTCGCCTATTATTCATCATTTATACGACAAATTAATTAATGCATGCGAACGGTGATAATTCATTATTAGAATATTTACTATCCCCTTTTTACGTATAATCATCATTTATTTCAACTTAGTCTGTCATTGTTATCCTATGGGAAAAAGTATCGATATAGTTTTAATGATAAACATCTATACTGCAGCTGTGTGTACTACATCGTCATTATCACGTAATACCATTGTATACTTGTTTGATTTGTATGAATTAACATAATTAATTAACATTATCAATTAACAATGCTGCGGCTTTTATATACATCATACAATTATAAATGCTGTCAGTCTGATGTTATTTTAATGGCTTATAGAGTTTTTAACCATCTGTGGATTGGCTGCCTCTTTATAGCACAAAAAAAAAGTAATAAAATAAGAAAAAAAAAAACAAATCAATAAATAATAAGAATAACTTGGCAGTTATTCTGTAAAAGTATCGTTATTATAACAAAGTATTTGAATTTACTGCAACTAACGATAAATTATTAACGCGCATGAAAATATGTATAGATTCTAAGTTTGCGTAGTCGGAGCGTTATTACACATAATTGAATAAAATTTTTATTAATAATGTCTCAATTATGTCGTAAAAAATAATTAACGAATCAAACTTTCTTTCATTCTGTCAATGTCATTTTAACAATATACAGACAAAATTTACCACTCCAATACCATTGTATTAAATCACGTGGTGGTTTAGATAAATAATTTATTCTTTTTCTTTTTCTTTTTTTAAGAATGAAATAAAGATAGATTCGTAAATTTGGCTTGAAAGTAGAATCTACAAGATTGGCAAAGATTACTTATTACATGTAAAGTTAATTAAAATTATTATTCAATTGACAAATAACTTTATCAAGGCTTATGACTACGTTTTTCTAAAGATTACACGCTATTGTTTAAAACAATCATTGCGTTAAGCTTAGATTAATCTATTATCACTCACAATGTCTCAGTATAATTTCAATTTTGATAATCGTCGAGCGATAAATTTTAAGCGATGTTTTATCGATCTTAATGTGAGGAATGATTTTTTTGCTAAATTACAATCTCTCTTCTAGTTTTGCCACTCTCGTAACTTCTATTTTCAATGTCCAACCAGTCGGTACGCTATAGGATAGTCTAACGACTAATAAAAAAAAAAAAAAAAAAAAAAAAAAAAACAAAGCGAAACTCAGAAGATAAGAAAATCGAAACAATCTTAAACAAAAGTGTCTCCCTCTTCCGCTTTCCCTTTCTCCACTCCTTCCCGCCCCCCTCTCTCTCTCTCTCTCTCTGATTGGATATCAACAAAAGGGAGTTCAGGACTGGTCTGGATGGAAAGTTCCTTCGTGGGTGTACGCCCGGTCGAATCCCCGGATACTCCGGCAACCATCGATGCGTCCCAGTCAAGTTCACGGGCGCTGCAGTCACCGTCGCGTTCGTCGCTTCTCAATGCGACAACGACGAGAACAGCAACAGCAACAGCAACGGTAACAGCAACAGCAACATCAACAAAGACGACGACGACGACGACGACGACGACGACGACGACGACGACGATGACGACTACGACTACGACAACGAGCTTCCGCTCAGTGGTCAGCGGCGAGGCGAGCGAGGAGGGCGGCTCGACCTCGGGTGCCTGCCCCGAGGATTTGGGCAGCGGCTTCACGAGCCTGAGCGATGGCCCCGGCAGCCTATTCCTCGATCTCGCGCAGGCGCATCGGCAGCCGGAGCTAGTGGAGCACCAGGAGCGCTTCGAGTCGCCCTCGCCCACTCAGCAACAGCAGCACCACCGAAGCCGCAATCGGCACCGCTCCGAGGGCGAGCAGCACCATCACAGGCATCAGCATCACCATCGTCAGCATCAGCAGCAGCACCAGCACCAACGTGGTGAGTTGCTGCTGCTCGCCTAGACGCCGGGTGAAAAGGCCGAACGGTCGAGCACAGAGAGATATCAGCGAAACAAATCCAGAGGAGTTTAAAAGAAAAACACTGCGCGCATGGTCGACACGACTATTATAATCATTATCGTTGCTATTATTATTATTATCCCTCTCCGACGAAATTACAATGCAGTAAAGTTGCACCACTGACTCGGCTGTTACTCCAATGTCACTCCAACGATGAGAGAATTTTGTTCACCGGCCACTCTCCTCTGCCTTGCTACCAATCGATGCTCTCTAATGCGCGACTGGTTATTCTTTTTTTTTTTTTCTCTCTATCTATCATCCCGTTTTAATGTACATTCGTGTGGCTGCCATTGATGTTTGTTTGGACCGTTGTTATTCGTAGTGTGTGGCTGGTCGTGTGCACCTGGCGTGTTTTGCTTGTCTCTTGGTGTAGAGTCAACGCGAAAGGACGAGCGATCAAAATCTTTTCCATTTTTTCCATTGCGTCGTACTGTACAGCGTTGTAATGGTATTAGTCCTTAGACCTGCATACGTGTGGCTGATTTCCATGAAAATGCTCTTGCGAGTTTGCTCGCTCGTCTTCTCTTTTGTTGAAAAAGATATTTCGAGGTACATACGTTGCTAAGCTCATTATCCTTTCTTTCATTCCAAATGAAATAACATTGTAACTATTAAGGTCGACGTCGCTCTTTGTTTTTATTATAACAACCATGACTTACTTTTGCCTGTATTATAAATTTTGATTACAAATTCGCGAATTATTCGAGAGGGCGATACATCATTTTTCGATTGTAGGATTACAATTAATGCCTTATCTTCTTTGCGTTCAATGAATTATCATTGCCGTATGAGAACACGCGAATGAATAGTGGCGAGCACCCACCAATCTTCTTACGCCCTTAAATTATCATCGTTTCACTCGTGGTTTGTGGCATTTTAAACATCCCCCCGCCCCGCCCCGCCCCCTCCCAATTTCATTTTCCTCGTTATTTCACCGAAACGCGTCCTCTTCCTTTCTGCTAATTTCATCGGCCGAATATTAATATTCCCGAGCATAAATTGCCCTTCGCAGTGTCTTTTAAAATAATACCTCCGAACGTGAGACGAATAATTTTTCGACGCGTCGCTCGGTCCATCGTTTCACATTACGATTCTTACAAAAATCTCTATAAACGCTACGGTAAGTGTACAGCGCATTCATTACATAAGAAACGTCGACTTTTTTCTTCTATTTTTTTGCCCAAATGCCTTACGAGCTGTTCCAATTGACATTTAAAAGTGAATTGTAGTAACTAGGCCGCGTGGTATCTTTCTTTACATTGTACAATCGGCCATTTTCATTCAACGTTTAACGAAATAATTTTGTACCGCAACGCATAATGATTCGAGTGCGATTACGACACGAGGCGATTGTCCGTAATCGTTGATAATAATCATAGTCCGCTAGATAGGATAACGTCCCGAATATTTTGCCAAATCCCGTGGCTTGCGCAATAAAGCTTAAGCCCTTAACATATCCGTTGTGCCTGCAAAATAAATATCAAAACGGTCGATTGTTTTTATCCTCCTCCCCCCCCCCCCCCCCCCGCCCCTTTTTATTATTCGCCAACGCCACAAGATTCCCCCTCAACTTGCCTCCTTTCACTCGGATTGTCAAAAGATACGCGCAACTCCATTATTCCCAACTGCCACTACTCCACATCGGGAGCAGTAAAATTGCTCAAAGCTCTCAAGCTCTCTCAAGCTAAATTCGTACATACAGCCCGAAAATTTGTCTAAGGATAGTTTAATTAATGGCCAGGGTAGTTTACTCGTTGCATCCTAATTTCCATCCTGCCCTGTTCAACTTAGCGAAATTATCATTATTCTTTTGTATATTTTTAAAATGCTAAATCGGCACTCACCAGCTTGTCTTCATAAATCCGAATCGTTTTATAAATCTCGCTAGAGATTGCCGAAACAGGCAAGAATCCGGAGGAGGGTGCCCAAGAGGGTTTGCAAAAACTAAGCGACAAGTTTTAAGGGCTACGGAGGAGTCGTCTGGGTTCGAGAGAAGAGCAGCCCGGCGACGTAAGAGCCAGCTATTGCGCAAGCGACGTGGAGGCCTTCGACGAGCCCCGCTGGCAATAGCCACCTGCTCGCGGACGAGGAAGCACTTGGGGGACGTCTGGCCGACGTCGGGACGAGGTCCAATGCGCATCGTCGCTTACAGTACCGCGGAGTGGGGTTCGACGAGATTGGCGGCCGCCTATTCTTAGCGGGACGCGTTCGACGTATCCGCCCGACCGACGAGGAGCCTTGGCGGTTCGGGCGCGACGATCCGAGGGAGTGGGAGAGGGAGGAGTAAGGGGCGAGGGGGTAGGAGAGATTGTATTATTGGGGGATAAATGAAGAAACCCCTGGTGGATTTTTGTATCTTATCTTCGGGCTATTGAGCGACACGTCACCCTCGGCCGTCAATCGTGCCAACGAGGAATTCGTCGAGTCGTTCGGAGGAGCGCCTTCACCTTGGTATACAGCGACCCTGGGTGCTCGCCCATACGCGTATCGCCGTCTCAATTGTCCGCTGCGACTGTCGATTCGCCATCAAAGGAGACACGAAATTTGTTTGGTACATCTGGAGGAGACTCCATTAAAAATAATCATCGCGTAACATCGTCCTGCCCGTAAAATTGCCTTCTCCTCGCAATACACAAGAGGAATTCAATTGACTCGAATCAACGTATCGGCCAGTCGCTTGTATTGGTGGTTGTACTCGTACTCCTCTGCCTTATACCTTTCGAGTTTTTGCCCCGCGTATAATACACTTATTAGTTGACCGATATAATACATATCCGTATAAAAAATCAATAATCCTTAAGGACTTGTGGACTCGCGGGAGCTTATCTCTGCCTAAGTTTTCGTCCTAAGCAATCGATGGCGCAGCCCATGAAATTGTAATCTTCACTTACCGGTGCATTCTTCTTTCAAATGCCAACGCATCTTTCGCTTCTCTTTCTCTATCTATCAAAGCCGCAAATAAATTGCACGCTTGCATAGATATTTTCATGGAATTAAAGTCTTTAACATATTAGTCGGTGGCGAGATTCGTTCCGATATCGTCAAAATTGAAAATAATTGTAACGTGTATTCTGTGTAAGCGCACATAACTGTATTTGCCTATGTTTTGCAAAATTTTAATTTTACATTACACGCAATTTTAGTAATCGCATTAGCGATCGGTCCGACAACATATATATATATATATATATATATATTGTTTTTTAAATTGTATTTATTATTATTATGCTCCCAGTTCGTGCTAGTTTTAGATTAAAAGGGCATCGTATATGCAAAGAAGAAATGCAAATTGGTCATATGTGTATTATTATATCGTGGATTTTAATACTTTCTCGGCTTACTCGACGTGCAAACTTGCTTTTGCTACGAGTCGTTCTATTCTGATTTTATTCCCGGCCGACTGCAAATTTCTTTGACGAAAAAGTCTTTATTATATCGCGCGCACACGCGCATCTCCGTATAATCGAAAAACAGTTGAACAGGCGCCCTGCAAGCCAACGTTATTTCGAATATTTTTCTTTCTTTCTTTCTTTTCTTGTTTTTTTTTTTTTTTTTTTTTTTTTTTTTTTTTTTTTTTTTTTTTTTTTTTTTTTTTTTTCCTCCTTTTTC